CCTGCACGAAAAATAAACAGTTTATAATTTGGCACCTGTCTGTCTTTTAGGGGCGAAGCTCCTTAGGGCGTGGGCTGTGCGTCCCCTGTAGCCTGTATGTAGCCACCTCTGGCTTAGTTCTTGCAGTGTTCACTAGATGGCGGTACCGTCCCCTGTATGTAGCCACCTCTAGTTTAGTTCTTGCAGTGTTCACTAGATGGCGGTACCGTCTCCTGTATGTAACCACCTCTCGTTTAGTTCTTGTAGTGTTTACTAGATGGTGGTACTTGTAGCTGATGATGAAAAGATGCAAGATGTTATAAACTAGAAAGCGGTACTTGTAGTTGATGAAAGACGCAAGATCTTATACAGGAACCGCTCTCCCTTCATTTCACAGACCATAAAGCCGTCATAATGAAGGGACATCGCAAGCCATCCATCGTTTAAGAACAAATAAAAGTTGATTTGTGTATATACACACACAGCGTTTCTCACGTCTTTACATGATGATCGACTGGGCGATTTACACGGAAGATTCACAGTTTACAGATGAATCCCTCCGGAGCTTCGCCCATTCATCATCATTCACCCCGTGAATATGCCGTAATTTTTTCTTCTCCACTTTTTCATCTTCCTAGTATAGCGCCAGGTACGAAATGCTCAGCAAACTAGGGCACCAAGTCGCCCAAGAGCAAGTTCTTCTGACCATGAGTTTACGGTGCACCAGTAATACCATTGGCTACAGTGGAAGTATTTTGGTGTTCTTACGCGTCGTATACCAGCGAACAGAGTGGCTGTGGTATGCTCGTTTGAAGCAGCTTCGAAGCTGTCTTTCCTTTAAAAAAAACGACCCAGAGGAGCCCTGTCCACGGGGCTTCGCAGCTGAAAATTCCATGTTTCATCCACGACACGCTCTCACTGGACCCGTAGTTCACGGTTATTAAGAAGAGACCACCGGAGTAACTGTTGCCTATGGTGAAACAGCTTGCTAGGCTCGTCCCAGAAAAATAATGATTGATTTATATGTGGGGTGTAACGTCCCAAATCCACCGGGCTGCGTAAATTCCGACCACCTGGCGTTCTTTAAGGTTCACCCATATCTGAACACAATGTCCTACAGCGTTTCCACCTCCATCGAAAATGCAGCGGCCGCAGCCGCGATTTGATCTCGCGGCCTGTGGATCAGTGGCCGTGTACCTTAGCCACTAGACCAACGCAGTGGGGCGTCCACGAAGAATTGGCTTGCGCAATGTATCGGAAGGTGAAGATGTCATTTCACGTCGTGGTTTAGCCTATAGCTTTTTCCTTACGTCAGACTCATGTCTTCGTGTTATATTTACCGCAATAATCCGAAAGCTAAGTTCATGTACCATTAGGTGCCACTAGTTTTCGTTCATCGGAAGCTAGTTCAACTTACCGTGCTAAGTTCATTGAATACAAGCTATATTCATCGGAAAATTGTGCGCGAGCGCTTCGGACAAAACAGCAGTTACATTGCCATTGTACAGTAGCGTGAAAATAGAATTAAAATAGTGGTTGTGAGAATAGGGTACTTTCAAGCAATGATGATGCTGAGACAGTGTTTCGTGGCGCAGGAACCAAGTGTAGCCGAAGAATACCCTGCCATTGTATATTATGTCAATAAGTTTAAGGTGACCGATCAATTTATATATAATCGACTAGTGGCTGTAGAAGGGTCTAAAGTTTGGTCGCTATGAAATTGCGTACAATACCAGAACGTATATTGACGGGGGTTCGTTGAAAAAAACTATGTGGAAAATGCATTGTTAGAAGGTCAATATATCAAACAAGACATATCTTGTTCCACAAATGCCGCACCGAAGCACTTGTGGGCTACTTTTGAGGCAAGAGAGACGCGGGCGAATAAGGGTCAAATTAACGCAAACTTTTTATGCAGAGAGAAAATGTGCTAAAATAGAACATACTCAACAAAGAAAACTAACAGACAGAGCGCAATCTGGTGCACTTGATCAGTTCGTCTTCCTTTTTTTTTTAATGTGCTTTTCTCTTATGGCACAATTTGTACTGCATTAAATGAACCAACGCCCCTCCAGATCCTGATCAATGGTAACATTTGTTTGGCAATAGCAGAAAGTTGAGCTAGTTTCTAACTATTTATAATAAAGAGACAGGACATGCCCACGCGGATACAATACCTTAACAATGCCTGAACGAATTACCGAATGCGGTAATTTGTTTCCTTTTTTTTTTTAAATATGCAATCGCGGTCAACATTATTGCTTCCTCTCAGGATACAACAATGAATTATTTGTTGTCTATGCCCCTATTCAAAATTTTTCATCGGATCCTGGTGTTAACGGAGTGTTATGTTGAATTATAGGGCAGATCGCGAGCACTTCGGCGGGGCGCGCACGCAGTGCGTTGATTCGAGAGAGAGTGCTCTCCTGAAATGTGCAAGTGAAACGCGTGCGCCTTGACGGGGGCATTTGTGACACCGAAATCGAGCGAGAGGGAGTGCGAAGTGCTGTCTAATACTCATTCATGAATTCGTACGAATGTAAACATGCGGGCATGACGGGAGGAAACACGGGAGCGCAGAATACGTCACGGGAACTTTTTCTCGATTCGCTGATTTGAATCAAACAATCCTTAATACAATATTGCTCTCAATATGCTATGGAACGCATACGTGCTCCGATTTGCCATTGGAATGCGATTGCTAAACGAAGAGCAGAAAAGTACATCTGTATCTGCCAGTGGAACTCATCATCATCATCATCATCAGCCTGACTACGTCCACTGCAGGACAAACGCCTCTCCCATGTTCCGCCAGTTAACCCGGTCCTGTGCTTGCTGCTGCCAATTTATACCCGCAAACTTCTTTGTCTCATCTGCCCACCTAACCTTCTGTCTCCCCCTAACCCGCTTTTCTTGTCTGGGAATCCAGTTAGTTACCCTTAACGACCAGCGGTTATCCTGTCTACGCGCTACAAGCCCAGCCCATGTCCATTTCTTCTTCTTGATTTCAGCTATAATATCCTTAACCCCCGTTTGTTCCCCAATCCACTCTGCTCTCTTCTTGTCTCTTAAGGTTACACCTACCACTTTTCTTTCCATTGCTCGCTGCGTCGTCCTCAATTTAAGCTCAACCCTCTTTGTAAGTCTCCAGGTTTTTGCTCCGTAGCTAAGTACCGGCAAGATACAGCTGTTATATATCTTTCTCTTGAGGGATAGCGGCAATCTACCTGTCATAATTTGAGAGTGCTTGCCAAATGTGCTCCACCCCATTCTTATTCTTCTAGTTACTTCAATATCGTGGTTTGGCTCCGTGGTTATTACCTGCCCTAAGTAGACATAGTCTTTTACAACTTCAAGTGAACTATTACCTGTCTCGAAGCGCTGCTCTTTTCCGAGGTTGTTGTACATTACTTTCGTTTTCTGCAGATTCATTTTAAGACCTATCTTTCTGCTCTCCTTGTCTAACTCCATAATCATGAGTTGCAATTCGTCCCCTGAGTTACTCAGCAATGCAATGTCATCGGCGAAGCGCAGGTTACTAAGGTACTCTCCATTAACTCTTATCCCTATCTGTTCCCACTCTACGCTTCTGAAAAACCTCCTGTAAGCACGCGGTAAATAGCATTGGAGCGATTGTGTCCCCCTGCCTTACACCCTTCTTGATTGGTATTCTGTTGCTTTATTTATGAAGCACTATGGTAGCAAAGAAGAGGAAATGGACGTGGGCCGGGCATGTAGCACGTAGACAGGATAACCGCTGGTCATTAAGGGTAACTAACTGGATTCCCAGAGAAGGGAAGTGGGTTAGGGGGAGACAGAAGGTTAGGTGGGCAGATGAGATTAAGAAGTTTGCGGGTATAAATTGGCAGCAGCAAGCACAGGATCGGGTTAACTGGCGGAACATGGGAGAGGCCTTTGTCCTGCAGTGGACGTAGTCAGGCTGATGATGATGATGATGATGAGGATGATGATGATGATGATGATGATGATGATGATGATTATGATGATGATGATGATGATGATGATGATGATGATGATGATGGTAGCAGTTGATCCCCTGTAGATTTCTTCCAGAATGTTTATATATACTTCATGGACGCCCTGGTTCCGCAGTGTCTGCGTGGCGGCTGATAGTTCTACTGAATCAAACGCCTTCTCGTAACCTATGAAGGCTATGTATAGTGGTTGGTTATATTCTGAGCATTTCTCTATTACCTGATTGATAGTATGAATGTGGTCGATTGTTGAGTAGCCTGTTCGAAATCCTGCTTGTTCCTTTGGTTGATTGAATATTAATGTTTTTTTTTTACTCTGTTAGCAATTACTTTTGCAAATAGCTTGTATACTACAGAGAGCAAGCTAATTGGCCTGTAATTCTTCAAGTCCTTGTCATCTCCTTTTTTATGTATTAAGATGATGTTAGCGTTCTTCCAAGGCTCTGGTACTCTTCCCGTCAGGAGACACCTCGTAAACAGGGTGGCTAGTTTTTCTAACACAATCTGTCCTCCAGTGGAACTCAATGCGTGGCTAATGTAAACAGTTGACTCTGCACTTGCCACTATTTTAAAATTTGTTACCTAATAAACAAATATAACGGGCCATCTTGGTATGAATCCATTTCGGTAGGAAGCGCACAACTTTCGCACAGGAGCAGGAGACACAAGCGCTTTGTGTAAAATTGTAGGTAGTATATTTTTTTAGTACATGTGCTCTGCGACATTGTTAAGTGTATGTGTGTGCAAAATACACCTGTGTAAGAGGAATCACGTTTATATTTATTTCAAGATTCTGGGTTGAACAATGTTGCGCGAAAAAGACAAGAAGCAGCATAAAACGTGGGTTGTCTTTTTGTTGTATACTTATCTTGTTTATAGTTTTCACTTGCCAAATAACTTCTCAGCCGCAACTGTGCATCTCAAATTTTTTTCCTCATTCACTATTCGCGATTGCTTTGATTTTTGCTGAAAGATATTCTTTGCACTCACTTGAAGTCAACAGTACTGTTTTCTTCTTGTCCACAGGTCACTACCCGTCCCTCCCCGGAACCCCTGAGTGGAACCAACCAGAAGCCTTAGCAGCTATGGAAGAGGAAGTGGAACGCTGGTAAGCTGACGTTTCAATGGTTGGAAGTGCAATGCATCTGCCTCGGGCATGTTGTGTGGCATTCCGTTTGACGCATTTACGCTGATCTGTGCAAGCAAACGGTGCCCCTGAAAGGCGCTGTTGCATTTCATTGTTGCGTTGATTTTTTACAGTGGAAGCTGTTAATGAGATCACAACACGGTTCACGTGCGCGCCGTTGTTTCCGCCACCGGTGTACGTAACCACTATCGCACAAAAGAGGTTAAAAAAAACTCCGTAAATAAGAAACACCAAGCATACAATCGCAATGAAACACGGGTTCTCTGTGTGCCAGCCCAGCATTCCACCAGAGAGCCACGCCGGCACTTAAGAATCCTCTGCAATTTGTCGTTAGGCCGGCTTGATGACGCCAAAGTAATCGCGTTGATAGGAGTATTAAAACGTTTTAGAACAGCAAAGGAACAACCAGGTTTCACATATTGCGAATTGCGCAACGTGTGGGTCGTTGAAGGCCCCAACTTTTTACCAAAGCTTGATCCCTTTCACCTAATAACTGTGGCACATGCACACTTTGGGGTACTGTTGGGATTACTAAATCTTGTTGCATCATCGTAGTGAGCCACTGCACAAAAATGCGCAAAGTTTGATGCAAGTTTTCAGCGGGCGCCATACTTCTCCGAATAATGACGAAAGATGGCATAGTGAATGTCTGCCTGGTATTTGATGATTCATACCGTAGTGGGTACCCTGCAAATGTGCTTGCAGCAGCCACCTAAAGAATGTTGCAAAAAAGCACCGGTAGGCGCACCACAGTCAAATCAAAAGCTAGAAGAGGGGCCTTTCAGGGCGTTTTCAAAACACTCATTGGGTAACTACAGCAAGCACACTAGCTTGGTACCCACTAGGGCATTAATTATAAACTTTTAGGTAGTAGGCCGGCATTCGCTATGCTATTTTTTGTCATTTTTCTGAGTAGCGTGGTATCCACTCTACACTTGAAAAGAATTTTGTGCCAATTGTCCATGCAGTGGCTGACGACGATTAGGAATTATGGCTGAAGTGGGTATGCACCACAGTTAATGGGGAAACAAGAACAAGCTTTCGCAATGGGTTGGAGCATCGGACGGCCCACTCGTTACGCTATTCGCATTGTGCGACGACTGGTTGATCTTAGGCTGTTGTAAAACTCTTTATAGGTCGTAATAACGCGATTGATTTTCCGACATCAAGCCTGCTTAAGGCCGGTTTTACAACAAGTCTCAAGCACCGGTGTAGCTCAGCAGTAGAATACTGGGCTGGCACCCAGCAGACCCGAGTTCGAGCCCCACTGTGCCATTGGTGCTAGGTCATGCCTGTCTAAGGCAAGTTTGACAACAAGTTACTAGCACCAGCGTAACTCAGTGGTAGAATATTGGGCTGGCACCCAGCGGACCTGGAATCAAGCCCCACTGTGTCATTAGTGCAAGCATTTTTGTAATTTCGCGTGATGTGGTTACGGACACCGGCGGCAATGGCGGACAACATGCAACTGCGCGTGATCGAAAAGTGATCTCATAACAGCTTTCACTGTAAAAATTAACGCACGATGGGACGGGAACTGCAACTCGCTGCTTGTAAGTTAGCAGCTGATCGTTCATCGTTCCTGTCACTCTCAGCGCGTTGACTACCATCTACGTCCAGTGAGAAGTCCTCGACGTTAATATTGTTTCTTTAAACTTCACTGTTAAGAGTAATCTGAGGAAGTCTCTCCGCCGAACGACTTTGATAGCAACAACAACGTGTCATCGCACAGCCTCAACACGGGGTCACTCACCAGGTTTATCCTTGTTTTCGGAGAAAATTGCCCTCCGATACAAGGCAAAAAAGGACGATAGTTATAGCGCGAGAACAAAACGACGACACAGAGACAAGAAGAACACGAAAGACACGAGCGCTAACTAGAAGTTAGCGCTCGTGTCTTTCGTGTCCTTCTTGTCTCTGTGTCGTCGTTTTGTTCTCGCGCTATAACTATCGTCATGCCATACCAACTAGCCCAAGCTGCCACACTTCTAAGTTGCAAAAAAGGAATCACTTGCAGTGTGCTGCCATCTATGAACGAACGTAAACAAGCGGCGCAGTGTAGACCAAGGTTTGGAAGCGTAAATCGTGAGCAGGCACTACTTTCCACTTGCAATGAATTTTATGTGATTCATGCACTACAAAATTACTGACTAATGGTATACGCACGTAAAAGAAGGCGAGTTTCAACTGCAAAGGTTAGCCAACACCCTTTAACTATGCACGCATGCAAAGTTGTCTGCGTTCGTTTTTTTGCTAACGCGTTAACAGTGAGGCTAGCACCGCCGTTGGGAGCGTCTGCCTCTACTGACCATCCTTGAAATTCGCTTGCCGGCGCGACAGTCTATGAACGTGGCGAATACCTTGCCCATTTATGGTAAGCTACCCAGGCAGGACACAAAGTTGGGCCAATACTGGTTATAGTTCGGCTTTGCGTGGCTCAAGCTTGGGCGGGCGTTGCCGGCGTGGCACCGATATTGGGGTGGCCGTTGCCTTTCGCCCGAAATGTTTGGCCGGCTTAGCCGCCTTTCAGCCGATGTTTGGCTTTCAGTGGCAGAATTGGTTTAAGTTTTCTGCCATTATGCCGTACTTTAGCCGATACTCGCTTAGCTGATGTCTTTCGTGTGTAACAATCATCAGCTGACGGCTTTCGCAATAAGTATTGTGCCTTTTTGTGTTCTTACCACTCTTGAAGCAATGTTCACTGAAATAATTGTTGCTGAATTAATTAGGTGATGCTTAAATACCTTCTCATCTTCCTTCACTCAGTCACATTGCCCTGTTGGGCGCTCCAGATGTCTTCGCCAGCGACTCAGGTACACATTTTATGGTAAAATAATGCGAGCCTTCTCGAAGCATACAATTATTAAGATCCGATCGAGACGAGCATTACCGAAATTCTGTACATATCTATCAGACATAGAGCATCTTATGTACGTGTTTCAATGCTAGAAAATTACGCGTGTGCCGCCTCATAATAGTTTTCTCACACGTCATGGTGGTCTTTCGGCTATGGTGCTTGACTGCTGACCCACAGATCAAAGTGTCAAATTCCGGCCGCGGTGACCGCATTTTGGATGCAGCAGGAAATTATACCCATGTACTTATGTTTAGGTTTACAGTGCTAAACTAGAATGTCTATCGACGGAGTGTCAAACGCGGAACGGCACGAGCGACATCTACAGTTGACAACGGGGGCACCTCTGATCATGTGCAATATCACTGATGTGCTCGCCATGGAATTTTTGTCATTTTTAACGCCACAGTTGCGATAACTGGTTTTGTCGTCAGAAGCGCTGTCAACCGTCTTGCGCCTAAAAAAGAGATAGTGCAATTACCGGATGCACTTCTTCTCGGCTCGCAGTACCATATCGTACCGATAATGCGCTGGACAATGAATGCGGCACATCACCCTCAGAACATTTCGTAGCTCAATGCATTTATGGCCGTGTCCTATGACTGAATTTCATCCTCCTGTTATTAACCACGTTTAAACAACGGTCTGTTGATTGTTACTAAATGTAGGTTTGGATCGCGCATACAAAAAACGCTGTGTGGATACCGTTGACTATGTATACTTATTAAAAGTAACTCATGTATGCATATCAATGAAGGTGCATGTATTATGAAGCCATGCATGCGGTATTATTTCCTTGTGCGTTTCGGTAGCGAACATTCATTGCTGACAGTTTAAGTTTGAGTAGGCGGTAACAGTTGCTGCGGAAACCTTGTCGTAGTTTATTAGCTGTGACTACAAGTGGTTACACATGAAGCAACTAACAGCGCATTGCAGCTCAACCACACAGTTGTAAGCTCTGGATTCTCTGAGGGAGAGATTCGTAGAGATGGTCCAGAAGAGCGGAGTTATTTCTCAGTCGGACCCACTCCCATTCAATGGTGCACCACAGGCCGTCCGCGTTGCATGTTGCTAGCCCAGGCTGTTTTGCGAGGTTTCTTTTCATCATACCCCACACATTTCTGAATATATTGACGTCTGAGCTTCTAGCAGGCCAGTCCACGGTCATTATTCTGAAGCTGTCAAGAAGCTCTCAAACTTTTTTTTGCCGTGCGAATAGGCACCCCATTCTGTTGGAAGTGACACAATTCGTCTGGAACGGGGCCGTCCCAGACGCAGGTCTAAAGGACTGTTTCCACTACGTCCATGTAATTGTTGACCGTAACCCGCCCTATAACCCTGTAAAGCGGTCTTAATCATCGGTAAATGACGGCGTTCCACATGGTAAATCATATCCGCCCACTAGAACGAACATTCCAGATATGCTTCTGGTCATGCCTGCATTTCCTTTCTTTAAGAAACTTGTATTTAGCACCTATAAACTCTGGCATTGTAACAAGCTCGCATGCCAAGTAGGAAACCAACGTGGCAACAATACTCTTGCTCAGAGAAGCACATACCAGACTGTGCATGCCTATACTCAAATGCAAAAAATGTATATTTTGTCATTATACTCACATTGTCTGCCATAAGTAAGGCTTTCAGTAGCCCGGGAACCTTCTTATATGTTTCTGCAGTGTAATTACTGCAATTATACACTAGGGTTTTTACGTAGTACCCATCAGCTCATACTCTCAGGTATTTCATAAGCAGCAGTTACCCTAATTATCACTAAGGCTCTACATATGGCTTTCATTATGCACTTTCGCAGAAGAGCATACTCATTCTTCTCCTCTTTTTCGGTATCTCTCGCTGCCTAGAATCGTAAGCAGATAGGTATTGCCTGCTAGTCGAATATCTGCAGCATAACACACGTTAGAAAACCAATACTACCTGGTTCTCTCTTGACGCCACACATGCTGCCTTTGGCCCCAGCGCGTACAGAACGTGGCCTCGTCACTGAAACAATGGCACGCCTGTTGTCTGGCATTCAGTTCTCGACAACGAAAGAGAAGTACATGCGCTGTTCCTTGTGAATTTTTTCGAGCTGCTTTCTTTGAGCAGCAAT